TTATCAGCCCTCAAGGCTTGCAATATTACTACTTGTCTTTCTCAAATGCATTCAGACTTTGACAGCCCTCTGAGACCAGTGCTCAAAAAATACCTTACCTAGGGGAGTATTGTGGCTTTTTTAGGAGTGGGAAAATTGAAGCACGGGGAAGGGGAAGCATCCTGTTCAAGGTCACAGAGCAAGCTGGTGGCAGAACCAGAAATAGCACCCAGAAGTTATTAGTTTTTTCTGTATTTCCTTTCCTGTCACCGCTGTTTGCTTGGATACCGAGATAGCTGTGTGTAAACAGACGGTTTCCAGAGGCAGCAGCCTTGTTATCTGCCTGATTCATTCAGTGATGATGCAACCTGGAATCCAGATTTCTGCAATGCTTTCCACAATCCTGATGCTGCATGTGACATCACTGGCCATGTTGAGCAACCAGACTTTTAAACTTGCCTCTACCTGAAATGCCAATGTCTTAAGTAAGGACCTTCTCACGGCGATTTTATTCCTTATGCAAGGTCAGGTCCCGTCTGCTCATTCCCCTGGCATAATAACTGACTTGTCTTTGCTCTTCTTAACCCGGTAAGGAGCCCTGGAGCTGAGAAAGTCAACTGTGGCTGCTCATCCTTTCTGTGACCCACCAGCAGCTTTGTTGACTACTAATTAGCTTCTCAGTGTGTGCAAACTCCCCGGTACCAGGGGGGCTGCCAAGCTGTCAGGCTGTCAGAAGCCACAAGACACCTTTTAATAGCTTCTGTGGGTCACTTCTGCTGTGAGAGAGCTACAGCGTTCTCCCCCAGCCAGGAGTGGGAAGCAAGCACGGCTGGGATGAACCTCTCTTTCTTAGACCAGATCTAACCAGATCTTAGACTTAGATCTTTAGGAAACAGGAAGGTTTGCTTTTGAGCCACTGAGTCTCTGTTAGGAGAGGATGATCAAGAACACTGTAAAACCTTCGTCCCCTGTGGGAGGTGAAAAATGAGATCGAAGGAGTGCAGCGAGTTCTTTCATGGGCATTTGCTTTGGGGATGTGGCAGAACTGCCCAAGAGCTGTGCAAGCGGATGGCCGAGCTCCAGCAGCTGATGTTCATTGAGGAGCTACAAGGGTGTTCCTTACTTTGCACACACAACTCCCAAGAAGAGGGAAGAGGAAGACTTTGGCCGCCACGTTTCCTTTCCTCCTTGAAAGCTGATGCTTTATGCATCCTCTGGAGCCCTGGCTCGGATGCCGGCTCACTTGGTAGCTGTGCTCCCAGGACGTCACCAAAGCTTTGTAGCACCTTGCGATGGTTTCTCAGAGTGTAGGAATTCTGTTTACGTTGTCAGCTTTTCATCAGCGCAAATTGATATTAGCAGATGGTGCACATGTCTCTGTCTCTCCAATTCTCAGGAAGCACAGGATAGCTTTAATGGGAAATTCTTCTTTATCCAGGATGTTTCACTGATAAACAAAACAATAAGAAGTCTTGTATGTGTGCCTTGGCAGTCCAGTACTTCTGTGTCTGTCTACCTTGTCTGGAAGTACCAGCTGCAGATTTCATCGGAGTCTTTGTGTCTGGCTTGGTTGTCATCATTAACAGAGCCTGCATTTTGTAACAAATCGGAAAATAATGTTGATAATTTATTTTGGCAGCAGACAATTCATCTTCTACACTGCCTGCCTCTCTCTGCTCTCTTTTGGTCACTGAGGGAAACCAAAAGACAAAATTTATCAGCAGAGATGAGTAGGTGGTAATTTTGAGAGAGCATCTCTTCTGAGTGTCCTTTTCTGATTATAACTACACTTGAAAAGAGACCTGAAATGCCAAGATCTGACCCTGCCAGAATCATTCTCATATAGATCATTAAAATATATTTGGCAACTTAACCGCCTTTCTTCTGCAACCTCACCATGCTATATTTTTCCACTCACAAAACCCTAGAAAGCCAGGAAGTGGAGCCCTGGGCACAAACGATAGACAATAAAATACTCTTGCAAAAGTTAGGAGAATATGTATGCTAAAAGTGACCCCTCTCTTCTGCCTGAGCATCTTCACGTGAGCTTTATAAACCTGCCTCCTTTGCCAACAGTGCTGGCCAAATGTTTAGTTGCAAATAATTTGGGGCTGAAACAGGCGGGAGGCTATTTCATTAATTTACTGCAAGAATTATTCTTTTCATGATCGCACAGCGCTGTTGCAACTGGTATCTTCTCACAAAGAGGTTTTGGCTAAAAACTATGCAGAGGCAGTGATGGGGAGAAGCAGGTGCTGCCTTTATATAGTGGAGCTGCAGGGAATGGGGTTGTGCACGTCTGCTGCAGGGAGACTTGAGGGCTACGAAGGGCTACGGATGGTGATAAATAGTGACTAAATTTCTTTGCCTTGTTTCTGGCCTGTTAAATTAAGCTGGTAGCTGTATTTGGAGCAGTGACTATGTGGGTTCTGTATCTACTTTTTCTCCTGGGTGCGAGAAAGATGATGTGAAAGAGAAAATTGCATGCAAACTGTGGGGTTTCGGGGAAGTCAGGAGAGTAATTGTTATAATTTGCTAACGGGTAGCATGGGACTATGGCGTCAGCACTGACTGGAAAAAAGTCTTAAAAACCTGTTTTGTGAAGAATCTAAATATTTGGGTTTTTTTTCAGTGGCTGAAGGCGAATAAACAGGTAACTTTTGTAACTTCACCTCCCCCTTGTGTTTCTTTTTACTGCAAAGAGCTATCAAATGAGCAGGGTGCAATGTCGCTCGGTTTCTCATTTTTCCTTTTGCCTCTTAAATTGCACAAAGTTGAGGAAAAAGTTTAAATATTGGATGGAGAAGGGGAATAAAACAGAAAAGATTTCATGCCGTTATTTGGAGGCTACGTTACGCTCAGCAGCAAGGCTGAGAAAGGAGAAATGACACTGCTCAAAATCTGGATGTTTCTGAATCTTTTGAAGTGACAGCAGAAAACCTCCTAAAATAGTTTTTTAAACAGGAACTTTCACAAGAAACTGAGAAAAAAAGGCTCCCCCACCCCTCCATATTACATCAAAAACCCCCAAATGATATTATTTGCTCTTGGGAAACACCACCGCAGCAACCCTTGGTGTCCCTCAGGCAGCTGGGCTTTAACATGTCCCGTGTCCCGTGGAGGATGGACACAGAGTGCTGGGGCAGTGCCATAAGGGAACGAGGGGATCCAGGGGATGGAGAACCTGTGCTGCAGGGCAGGCGCTCAGCCCTGCTCTCGTCCCATCTCTCCATCCCCAGGACATTCCCACGTGGCCCTTGGGATGCTTCCCAAGGTGGCTGAGCAATGCTGGGTGAGTGCCGGGACGGGGGCACCCAGGTGACTTGAAGATGCTGAGGGCATCAACTCCGTAGGGTTGCAGCATGGGAGCAGGACCGGAGGGTGATGGCGTGTCTGTGTTTGGGGACCTTGGTGAGGCTGATGGGATTTTGGGGCAAGGGCATGGATGGGAGGATGGAGGTGTTCTTTGTGGGGGTGGTTTGGGAGTTTTAAAATGATGGTGAATCACTGTTCTGCTATTCATGTTTGATTATCGGTTGTGATTATAAACCCGAATTGACCACCCCACTTTCCAAATGAAAGCATTACCTAAGCTCCAGGCGTGTACTTAGATTTGATTAAAATTTTTTTTTGCAGTAGTTAAACATGATAAGGCAGAGGGGGAGAAAAAATTATTTTTAAAATATGTTCTTACTCTTCCAGATCTGAAGTTATCCTCACTATGACACAATAATTTTCCAATGCTACTTTTCGGTTATATTTAGAAGTGCATTTTCTGTTCCTTCCCTCTCCTTTCTGTGGAACAATTGTGCAACTTTCTTTTTTCTTAATATAATACTGTATTAAAATTAGCTCCAAGACTAAAAAGAGTCCTCTGTGTAGGAAGGTAGCTACCTTCCTTCCTAGCACTTCCCCTGGATCTTCCACTGGGATTCTGTTCCTTTTAGGCACGGGTTCCTCGGGCGTTTGCTGCGGTGTACAACTGTGCTTTCCCTGGCTGATCTCCTCTCTGCTCTCCCCAGCAGTGAGCATGCAGAGTTCAGAGGGTGGATCAGACTCAGCAGCTTCTGTGGCACTTCACACTTCTGCATCAGCCCAAGCTCCAGTAGTGCAGCCAGTGCCAGCTTCTCAGCAGGTAACGTATGCGCAGCTGGGAATGCCGTTTCCATGGAGAAGAGAGCTGCTTTACTGGTAAATGTATTTTAAGCCAGGGTTTTTATATGAGGGAGAGGATTATTAATCAGCTCGTAGAGCTAGTGGGGAGAACCTGTTGCTGGACTTTGTGTTGATAAAGGCCATAGATATTTCATGTGTTAGCCCTACGAATAAGCAAGCTTTAAAACATGGGATTTGGATTTTAACTTAGCTACCCAAGAAAGTAGTTGCATGCCAGTTTGGTGTTTGCTTCAGTATAATATCCTGTTGTCGTTATTTGGTGTGTCAATAAAAGCAAGAGAAAATGAAACAGTCCTTAAAGGCATCTCTGCAAATGAGCTACTGAGCTCAACAGAGAAGAGGTGGAGGGAGTGCTAATGCAGGGAGAGGGTGGAGGAGCCACGTGCTGGTCTCTTCCTTTGGTAGGTGGATCCTGACATTTTAAATTGGGGAAGGGGGACTCATGATTCATATACATGAATATGATGCACGTGGGAGGTCTCCTGATAGGAGAGAAATGGTAGCTTCAGCTGATGAATGAAAACTACCTACTGCAAAACGGGAAGGGTTAAGTAAAACTGGTTCCTTTTTATGCCTTTTGGGGAACTATCAAAAGAAGTTTTTGTCGCAGGAAGCTGGAGGGAGAAGAGGATGGGTGGGTATAACTTGGCTACACCCTTCTCCAACTCCCAAGTGAGCAGAAGTAGCTGCCATTGGATGCTGATGAAAAGGAACAATTAAAAATTGTGAATTGGTAGGAGCATTCGATTCACCAGGAGACAGGGAAATTCACGTCGTGTGATTCGGTGCTTGGTTGACCAGCTCGCTGTCATCTCTCAGCCTTCCCATCTTTGATTTCTCTGGGTGACGTTTCTTGTTCGTATTGTAATGATGTGGATACCGCTGATCAATAGTGTCAAGTATCTTAGGGATTGTTGGTCATTAGTGTGAATTTGACTATGACAACGTCTTAAAGAAGTTTAGAAAACCCATCGACTTTGGATTATGAAATTACCTGTCCAGCCTTTGCCAGTGCTGTTGTCATGACACGGAATATCGAGTGGAACTCCATGGATTAAGGAAGACCCAGAGGATGGTGAAAGATTGCTGAAGAGGAGGAGCGTCCAGAGCCTTCCTTTCTCACCAGCAAGACAAAGAAAATACTAGGAATGAACTACTGGCAGCATGACTGGTGTGAGGCTGAAGCCTTTGGTGTTGTTGATCACTGGTCTACCTTTCAGTGTGAGCGAAGGCTGTATGAACAGGATGGCCTCATCTTACAGGTTGGGGATGATTAATTTTTTTGATTGTAGGTAGCAAGGTAGTAGGAGCAACCGGACAGTGGCAAATTACAGAAGTAGCTGAGCTGGGCAGCTGCGCCAAAGGAGGAGATGTGTCATTTGGTAGAAGCAATGACAGAGAATGGGTAAAAAGTAGGAGAAAGGAAAGGATCTTGCTGAGACTTTGGCGTAGGTGGCACTGCCAAGACATGACTTGAAAAACGGCTTATAATGTTTCCATCATGCACTGGTTACAACCTCTTTTGGAGAGAGAATGGACAAAGTGATGGTTGGCATTAGTGTACTGGCTCAGCTGCAGGATCTCCAATGTATCCAGACTTGCTGAAGGTCAGCCTCGGGACTGGTGATGTAGAGGCTGCCCAGAAATCTGGGCAATTATCATATTCCTATAATTCTGCTAGAATAGAATTTCTGGCTGGTTACAAAGGGCACGTTGGGAGGGTAACAGAGGGCTAAAACCCGTAACTACATACACATAAGCTAGCCAGTAATTGTCAAGGTCTCTTCTAGGATTCATGTGGGATTGCTTTGCAGCTTTTTTTTCTGTTGGCCCAATCTGCTGGGTATTTTTAAAGCCTCAAGCCACAGAGGATGACTGTCTCCTTGGAGAAGGTCCTCATCAGTTTAAAAGGCCATACTGATATTTGGCTCTGTTCCCATGGGCCTCACTGAATCATTTCTTTCCATCCACCACATCCCCATGCTTGTTTTGCTGGATCTGCAAGGTGCTGAGCACTCTACGAGATGTGTGTCCAACCTCAAACGGAATGCTGAGCATTACACAAAGAGCAGGGGGACAGTGGAAATAACAGTGCAGAGGTAGAGGACAGTGACCACCATAAGGCAACACAAAGCGTTTCTGTGCCCTTGGCAGCATTGAAAGGAGATGCAGAACCATCAGAGCCTTGGTGCTGGTAGAAACCGTAAGGGCTGTGGTGCCTTGGAGAGTGTGAGTTCTTGTTGCAGGAGGCAGAGTGTGGTTTGGTATAGCAGCTGTAAGAGAAGAAACCGTAGGAGGAAAATGTGAATGTGTGAGGAGTGGTTCTTGTTTAGCTGCGACTGAACCTCACGTTGAGCTCCTCCCATCAGTCAACTGTTAGCTGTTATTTCCTTGTGTAGAGACTTAAAGATGATGCATGTCAGAAAATGTGAATCCAGCTTTTCCCAAGATCTGGGTACTGAGTTCAGGCTGGTGTCTGGTGCAGATTACATTGGAAGGATGGGGACCGCAGGGACACTAAGTGAGGGGTACTGCTGATGCTGGAGTAGGACACAAGCTTTCCATGAAAGTTTGAAAGAGAATACCTAACTCATCTGTGTTACAGACTGAAATTAAGTGTATGTTACTATATCTTCTTCTTTCAGAGGGTTTTGGTCCAAGCAGCAGGCTCCGCTCCCAAAGGAGCGCAGATGCAGCAAATCTCTGTTCCCAGAGTTCAGCAGGTTCCACAACAGGTAATACCTCTGGAGTGAGACACCACCCAGGGACTCCATGTCAACAGGACCCCACGTCCCACACAACATTTAAGACTGTGCCAGAGAGCTGCTTAGAAAAATCCATGCTCTTAATTAAAGAGTTGTGTGCAATTAGAGAACGGGAGATCACTGTGAGAGCAGCTTTCTCCATGTCTCTCTTCCTTTCTTAGACTGATGGCAAAAGAGACTCTCAAATATGTAAAGTTTAGAAAGAACCTTTACTGTAGCAGTTGTCTTTCATATATTTGAAGATTTGATGGATGCTTTTAATTGCCATTTAAAAACAGTCCTCCTCTGTAAAGACTTTTTTAGAGGCAAAGTGTTTGGGATTTTTTTTAATTACACAAATAAATGTACTGACTGCATGTGGCTTCACAGAAAGGTTAGGTGACAGAGCCATGCAAGCATTTTTGTTTATCTGAACTTTGCCTTTTGCAGTCCTTGTTTCCTAAGAAACCAGGCATATGTGGTGCTGCTTCATGTGTACAGTGAGTCTGACTCTCTTGACTTTTTCCTCTAGCAATTTTTTATTTGGTTGCTCAGTTTCAGAAAAAAAACTTGACAGAGGGCAACTACGTTCCTCCCAGACCATTAAAAAAGGGGCTGGGGTGCAGATGGACACTGCCAACCTCCTCTCTGAAGGAAAGGCTGCAGCATGATCTCACCCTTATTAGTCAGTGGAGAACCAGCCCTGACACATGTGTGCAGAGGAAACCCAGCTCCATTGTTTCCACTGCTCATGGAGCAACTACTTATTTATTTATTTTAATGTGACCTTTTAAAATAAATATGTCCTTTGAGATTCCTAAGCATGTCAGGTTTTTGTTTGTTTTGTTTTTCTTTTCTCTTTTAAAAAGAAAGCCTAAATGCCAAGGTGAGGTTGAAAGTTGTTTAAGGATGTAATATGCAATTTCTCCTGCTGTTCCTAGGCAATAACATATCTGTAACTCAAGTTTATCGTATTTGTTTCAGGTGCAATCCGTGCAGCACGTATATCCATCCCAGGTCCAGTATGTGGAAGGAGAAGCTGTTTATACCAATGGAACCATGTAAGAGTCTCTTGTTGGCCGTAGCAGAGCCCTGTTCCCCTCCCAGTTGGGTTGAGCCCTTTGGTCCTCCCAGGATCCTTCCATCCCAGCTCTGCTGCTGGCACTGCCCACCATTAAAAGGAGGAAGAGTAGGAACAACTGTTTCACATGTTACGTTGTGTGTGGGGGCTAGTTTCAGCCAGACTCCAGCCTTGGAGGAGGTGGTGTCCTCATGGAGGGACTGTTCTCCAGGGCATCCAGTATTTTCCTCTGCCCAGCCCGTTGTGTGGTGAGGTGGGGCAGCTTTAGAAACCAGAGCATAACTGCTAGAGGAAGAAGGGGGTTTTGTAAGGTTTCCTCTTCCTCCTGTCTGCTGTGCCCCCTGCTTTGGGGCTGCTGCCCTCCAGGATGCTCTCAGCCTTCTGCACCGAGGTTGCCTACAGTGGCTGCAGAGCAACTCCTGGGCTCTGTGCTCTCACTGTGGCTGTGGGCCTTTGCTCCAGGGCTGTCACAGGACTGCTTAACATTGTCAGGACTGACTTTTACAGCACAGGGTTCAATTTCAATGGAGCAAATCCCACCAAAAATGGAGTTTTTTTCGAAAGGTGGTCCAGCTTTCAGAAACTGTTGTCCATGACTTTAGATTTGCAAGCCACTCTCCCCCTCCTGACCCTATTGTTCCTTTGACAGACGAGCCGCTTACTCCTACAACACCGAAGCTCAGATTTACGCCCCCAGCAGTGCAGCATCCTATTTCGAATCGCAGGGAGGTGGAGCTCAGGTGACTACAGCGGCATCCTCTCCTACAGCCATTCCCTCTCACAACATGGTGGGCATCACCATGGACATTGGGGGAAGTCCGATCCTCTCCGGCTCGGGAGCCTATCTCATTCATGGGGGGATGGAAAACACTAGACATTCTCTGTCACATACTTCACGCTCCTCTCCAGCAACGGTATGTAGCCCTGCAGATGTTGCAGCTCGGGGGCCAGGAATTTTTCCAAGGGAACTGAAAAGCCTTCAGAAAATAAAAATTCCTATCATTATCACTGTGTATATGTCTGTATAACATGCCATGCAAATGCAAGGGAGAGAATAGACACTGGTGTACTACAGATATTTTTCAATGGGAGTTTGGAATGTCTCTTTTGCTGGTGGGCAGAGGCTTGTCAAACTTTCTAGTGGATCACTGAAATTATGCAGCATGGACATAAAAGAAAATTCTCGGGGATTTTGGTTTTTTTCCCAGAGCAAAATGTTTTGTCTTTCCAATTCAAAAGAATTGTCTGTATTTACATTTTCTAATAAGTATAATATCTGAACACGGCGTTTGCCTTACCCAAAATAAAGAAATATATAAATATATTTTTAATTATGAAGAGACCTGAAAAATCCGTTACTAACACAGTGGAAAATTAGCACATAAGGTATGTCAAGCTGATCATGCCAAATGCACAGTGATCGAAAAGTCTTTGTATGTATCATCTCCTACACCATTGTGTATTCTGTCCGTGCCATATGTTACAGAAAATGTATTTTAGGGACAATACTGATCAAACAGAAATGTTTTAAATCTCTAATTTTTTTTAATCATGTCCCTCCAACTGTCAGTTGAGGTGCCAGGTTGCTAGAAGCACAACTGTACAGCTGTGTGGGACTCAGAGGGATACAACTATTAACCCAAACCAGCTTTTCCGCAGCTCGAAGCTACCAGGACTTTTATCTGAGAATCTACCAGCCCTTAGTAGCAGCTGCTGCCAGGAGTGGGTTGGAGCTCATTTTCTGGGACACTGCTCACCTTCCTTTCCAGACTGACTTGCGTGTGTTTATACATTTGTATATGTTATGTAAACATAATTACAAATGTAGGTGTAATTCAGTATATGGGGCCAGATTTTAAGATGTGAACAGCACCACCCAGGGAAAAAAACAGGAGCTGTTTGCTACTGAGTACTCTTGCAAATCTGGCTGGTTAGGTTGTACTTTCTTTTCCCACAGAGTTTTAGAATATGGACTTAATGGTTTTTTAATCTTTGGGCCTTGAAAGGTTGCCTTTGATCCTGGAGTAAATGTGCTCTGCCTTAGGTCAAAACAGGGGAGAAGTCCTTAGATTTGGGTGGAAAAGAAAATGACAGATACATCTGGATGAGCTGGGGTTCATTTCTTGTGTGAGAATTGTGTGTGTTTGTATGTATTTTAACTGTTCGTAGTTAAAAACTAGCATTGGACCATCTTCTGATTTTTGCTTGGGTGTGTTATTTTGAAGGAAGTAACTGCTGATCTTGTCACCTGCGTGGGACTGCATCTTGCAGAGCTGCACAAAATTACTCTTGGTTTTTGGTTTGGTTTTTTTTTTTTTATTTCCATGATGATGGGCATAATATAAAAAGCCCAAGTAGAATATGTGTCAATAGAAATGTCCCATGAACAGATTTAGTTTGTAGCTGTCTATCACATGAGATAAAGCTGTTCAGCAAAAAAAGAGTTTAAAAGTGACCTTTATGAAAATGCATCTGAAATAAATTCAGTTGCATGTAGGAATGAACTTTCTGAAGATATTTTAAAACAAAATGTGTGTGGATCTTGTGGAGGGGCTCAAGAGGGTGAAATAGTGCATGGAAGACAGTATAGGGATGTGTCTGTGTGTGGCTTTCAGTTCTTTCAGCACAGACCAGAGTCAGAGGGGGATAGAGCAGAGCCATGATAACTGCTTTGAATTTCACATAATAATGGGTGGACAGATAGTGGAAGGCTTAAGGAGAGCAATGACTAAATCACATCAATGGGTAGGAACATTATTTTTTCTTGCAATGTCTTGCTTAAACAGAGAATAGGAAAGGCTGGTGTTAAAGAGGCCGGAGAGGCTGTAGTCCTGGCAAAATGTATTTAGGGCAGGATTAAGAGCTTTGTGGAGAGAAAAAAAAAGTACAGTTCATGCTGATGTACCCAAGGAAGACGTAGTGTTTGCGTGTGGCCTTGGGAATATAGTGCAAAGAGGATGGATGTCAAAGTGGACAGCAATGTGAGGGCTTGGCAACGTGAGAGGCAGCTGCAAGGAATGGGGAAGCGAAAGGGCTTGGAGGGTGTTGAATGCTTGAGCAGAGCTGGCACTGAGACCTCCAAAGCAAGGAGAATATCTTCAGAGGAGACTGGGAACAAGGTAGAGCTTCAGAATTAGCAATGGTGTAAGAGCTGCCTCAGGAGTTTGAGGGACATTTGGTAAAGACTGTATGTACACTAAAATAAAATCTTCAAATATTTAAAGAAACCTGTCTTCCATATCTGCTGGAATAATGATGTTCTGCTCCATCGAATGGGCTGAACAGGACATGAAGCAGTCCCATTCAATGCCTGTGCCAATAGAGCACTATTAATCTTCATTTAAATTAGGCTATACCAAGAGAGGAGATCCTTGAGACCTCCCATAAGTGGGTCCTCAGAGCTCCTCACCTTTGTGCTGAGGCGTTTAAGAGCTTTTAGCCTTTCCCCTGTAATATTTTTTTCTGCAGATGCAAGGTGTCCATTTGTATGGGACGTTTACCAAAATGCCAAAAGGACAGGCAGTGTTTCTGTGCTTGCGTAAGAGGTGTTGCTCAACTGGCACTGCGCTGCTCCTTGAACAGAGGAAGGAAATGGTGTCTCCCTCTAACATTGACTCATTTCCTGAAGGCTGCATCAGCAATCAGTCTTTGGTTCCTCATGATACATCACGGTGTGTTAGACAGTTTTCTCAAAAAAAACCACCCCACTGACTATGTGTGACTGACCTGTTTTTGAATTCAGTGATAACTTCTTGAGAAGTGCCATGGTGATGGCATTTTTGGATGGAAACCAAGGGACGTGTGCTGGAGGTGCTTGGACAGAGTATCATGTTCAGACATGGATATGGCACAGACTGCGTCTTTGGTTGTTTAATGTTACTTCAGAAGTTAGATCTGATTTGTTCTGTTCTCCCACCTTCCTGACAGAGCTTGGTTTTGTAAATGGCTGTTTTCACCTCGACCTTTATCTTCACCGCGCTATGAGTCAGTGCAAAGTGGAGTGCAGGAGCTAGCTAGCGAGTGAAGGAGGCCATTGGCAGATCTTCCTGCAGATGCTTTGTGCTTGTGCCTACTGATGAGTGCACGACCCTGCATGTTAAATGAGGACAGATGCTAGAGACAGCTGCTGACTGGGAGTTTTACTGGCTGATATGTGCTGCCTTGTCCTGCCTGCACTAACAGGTCACAGATAACAGGGTTTTGAGAACATCTACTGGAGAGAAACAGCAGGTTCTGCTCCTGCCAATCCCTTAATGTGGTTGGTTTGGTTGGGTTTTTTTTTGTTTTGGCATTCTTTTTTCCTTCCTGACTTGCAAAAAACTTGTGCTCAGGCGCACTAGAGCTCTGGGACCAGCAGTCATCTGCTAAGTAGTTTGCTAGAGATTGCCAAGGGAGCCCCAGCAGCAGAAAGGAGAAGGCAAGGGTCCAGGAGAGGGTCCGAGCACAAGGCAGCAGCCATAGCTGGGCTGAAAGTAGAACAGGAGCTACACAGAGGGAAGCAAGGAGGCTCTTCAGGGGCCAGAATGCCTCACTGTGACTCCGCTTGCAGAAGCTCTGAGATTAATGGAAATGAGCACAAGTAGCATCAAGATGTGCCAGGCTGTCTTCTCAGGAAGAAGCTCACTTAATTGAAACCTGTCTTCTTCCTTCAGAGTCCCTTTGCAGTTCTCTTCAGTAGCAAAGAGCTCTTACCCTTTCCAGCTTATTCATTCTCTGTGTCAACCCTCCTTGTGCCCCTGTTTTATTTAGTTTCCGTTAGATTTTTATCAAAATGTTAAGAAGTAATAATAACTGAAGTCATTACTTCCAGTTTTCCTTGAAAGGTCTGGGTAAAATGCACCTTCTCTGGAGCAAATCTCCTTTGACCTACTGCAGCTTATCTGTCTGGTGGTGGTTTGGTCTAGGCATGGAGGGGAAAGGAGAAGGAAAACTGCTTCTCTTTTATAAAAGGGCAATGCATCTAGTGGAACATCAAAAGCCCTCCCCTGGCCTCACTCTTTCACCCTAACAGGGATTCTTGCTGTGTTGTTAGTTTGCATGCCATACAATAACGTCTCTGCAGCTTCATCCCATAAGGACTGTGCCTCATCTGTTTGCCTCTTTTTCACAAGCCTGTTGATACAAAGCATTAATCATTCAAATATTAATAAAGAAATAATAATCCTGGCTGTTGCTAACTATCTGATTTCCTTTCTTTTTCTTTTTTCCTTTTTTTTCCCTGTGCACATTTTCTTTAGCTTGAAATGGCGATTGAAAACCTACAAAAAAATGAAGGGATTACATCACACAAAAGCAGTTTGCTCAACAGCCATGTAAGTTACAATCGGAATTTACAACCTTTTTCCTGCTTTGGTAGGAGCATTATTTGTAGCCCTTTGGTGTATTCAACAGCATGAGCCACTCAAAGCAGCCTGTGATTCAGCTGTGCTGCCCAAAGCAGCCCATTCCCAAGGACCAAGAATCTGCAAAAAGTGCCATGATGTTAATGTTTGTTTATGAGATGCTCTGGATTCTGTTAACTGCCTTTAGCCTGTGTTTATTTATCTCATCTGCCTTGCAATGGAAATTGCTGGCAATTAGATAAACACATTTGAAGAAGTTCTTTTCTTTCACTGGAATTGAAAGATGGCTGGAAAATAACTTGCAATTCTACAGCAATAACTTGGCGTGAATCATGACAGATATCCCTTAGATAGCACATACCAAAAGCCTGTGAATGCCTTTATTGCCTCTTTCTGTGCCTCAGGAAGACCATTACTGTTACAATGCTATGCTAAATCCATTTGCTAGACCTCTCTCTTCTCACTATGCCAACAATTTCCCTGCTTTGTGTGAAGTTCCCACTATTCTACTGGGCCTTCTGCATCATGGTTTATGACTCCCATGCAGTAATGCTTAACGGTGAGCACATGCT